CCCAACATGACAATTTAGCTTCTGTTATTGTGTTTAAGTTCTCATCAGATAGATGCAAGCTGCCGCCATGGGAGTTGTGGACAACAAATATTAGTCTTAAGACTGCAGGTCAATAAAACATTGGGTTTGTCTGAGCTGAAGAGAAGATACTGTTTTTAACAATGAGAGATAGCACAATCAATTTGTGCTAAAAGTTAGTGAGCTGCCTGCATTTTAAGGCATCATAGGTTCCTGAGGCTGAAAAGTAGACAGCATAATTATGGTGCCAAATTCAAAGGTAGCATCACATGTATCATTTGTGGAGAACACAATCCAAAATGCACTGTGAACCCTTGTGAAAAAAAGTGTGCTTAATTGCGCTGAATGTGCACTTGTAGCCTACTTGAAATATTAAAACAATATATTTAATAATACTAATAATGCAGATAATATAATAGTAATTATATAAAAGGCCACTTAAGTGTAATTAAATAGGGAACAGTTTTTTTATTTTAAGTATTACTTTTAAATTACATTTAAAATTGTCATGCTTAAAAGAAGTAAACTTATTTTGATGTGTTGACTAACATACTAAAGCACATGTAAAGTACCTTTTAATTGTAGTGTTTCATTCTGTTGAAGTTAATATACTACCACTTGTACTAAATTTCAACTTAATTACAAATCTAATTATATTTAAATACTAGACATACAAAGTTTAATAGAAATGACATTAAATTATATTTTAGTTGTCCATTAATGCTTTCAGATTCAGCAGTACGTTATTTCAAAGTAATTATGAAATGACATATCAACATGTATATAAGTTTTACTTAAATGAGGTCAAAAGCACTCTTAAGTTAAACTGATTGCATTTACAAGAATACATTTTCATTTAATTGAAATTAACATGTAATTAAGTGTCCGAAAACATTACATTTTCGCATTTAAGTATATTGTTTTAAAGTATATTATTTTGTAATACGTACTCTTTAAAAGTATACTAAAGTGTAATTCTTTTTTGCAAGGGAAAGCTCAATACTGAAAACTATAGGTAGTTGGTTTTAGGAAACGCACTGCAGGCTGGTCCAACTAATGCATGTTCAGTATAGAGGCAATGCCTATAGGTTTTGACTTTTATTACACCAAAATAAGATTGTTGTTCAGAAGTTGTTTGCCATTTCTGAAAGGCTGTTTTTAGGGGAACGTACACTCCAAGCCCATGCCCATGCTATGTCATACTCATAGCACACAGATACACCTTAAATGGCAGCTTGTTTTGTGGTTATATAGTCAACTTAAATCGGTTTAAATATGTCTACAGACTTCTGCAGGGTTCATTTTGCACATTGTCTGTTTTGTAATGCTATGGTTCATTTTTCTTCTCTCTTCATCTCATCTTTCTCTAACATACACAAAGACTGATTCTTCCATTGGATTGCAAATTGATTCTTCCATTTTGATTGCTTTTTTGAGAAAGCATTTGAATTATTGCTTGGACACTTAAATAAATACTGTGCTATAAGGAATATCCTCTTGGTCATCTCTTTTCTGTGTATTTGCTGCCACTTTTTTTTGTATAAATGAAATTACAATGCCAGTTTGTGAATTTGTTCAAGTACAGATATTTATAATAAAGTTAATGATTGGCAAAATTGCCAGTTCTACTGTTTAATTAAAAAAAAATCTAGAATACAGTAATAAAACTGTAAAATTACGGTACGCTGCTGGAAACCCTGCTGCCAGTATATTACCGCTAATTTACAAAAAAGCCGTAATTCAGAATACAGTCATAAAACTGTAAAATTACGGTACACTGCTGGAAACCCTGCTGCCAGTATATTACCGTTAATTTACAAGGAATTTTTTTTACAGTGTACTCTTTAATCTCTCTAATATCCTTTGAATAAATACTTACTTCATAATGTTAAAAAAGTATGTTCTATATAGTATGAATGTAATCCAGACATTCTACATCCATTCATACTGCATTGACACTTTTAACAGAAAGGGACTTTCTGTCCTTTGTCAAAAATACAATTGGCTGTTACGTTCTGCTCTCAAAGCATATGGAGTTCCTTGGGCATCTCCTATTTCCTCTCATCCTCTGTTTCCTTAATATATAGTAAAACTATTGATTGCATTACAAAACCTCTTTCTATCAAATCTGTTTGGAATCGGGAATTATCTGACCTTAATTTACCAGTCGACTGTGAGAGCGTATGGTCTGACCTCAGTTTAACCTCTAAAAAACTTGGCTCATCGTCATATGCATTTTAAAGTTATTCATAGAGCATATATAACTCCTTACAAAATATTTAAAATGAAACTACAACCAATTTTCAACTGTCATATCTGTAACACTGCGTCATCAGGTACTTTTCTACATATGTTTTGGGAGTGTCCTACTGTATTGTCAATAATCTGTGGACTCATGTAAACTTTGTTTTATCCTCTTTACTACAAATTGATTACATGGTTAAGCCAAGTTTATGTCTTCTTAATGATGATTATGGCTTCTGTGTAAGCTCAATACAAAAAAAGAATGTTGTTTGCTGGTTTTACAGCTGCAAAAAAGGCAATAATACAGAAATGGTTTACACCGCACATGTGTGGAAAAACGTACTGGATCCATAGTCTTCTTAAAATAGTGGCCTGTGAATGTACAACAGCACAAATTAATAAGGCGAAGTACTATTGATGTTTGGCAGTGTTTTTTATTTTTATTTTATTTTTTTCCTTCTCTCTCATATTGGAATATGTAAATTGATTATATGTCTGTCTTTTTTTTTCTTTTATTTGTGTTTTATCCTAAATGGATGTTATGATGTTATTTGTTATATGTAAAAGATAATAAAAAGTTGATCAAAAAAAAAATACAATTGGCTAATTCCATCTCCATCTTGCAGACACTCGACTACAGTAGCTGTAATTTTGTCATGTCACTGAATATGGCCACATCCGTTCATCAGCGGTTACTGTAACGCACGTCTGTGAAAGTCTCCAGCTGTCATTGAAAATAAATGAGTTCAGTGGCCAGTTGCATTAACTTAGCCTCTATATTAAGACTGTGTCTTAAGTGGATTTGGGGTACTTGGACTATTGGACTCTGAGTTTTACGGAGTAAAGCTGAATTCATATCATGTGTAACAGAGAAAAAAAAAAAGAAAATACATTAAAGATAAGACATTAGTAAACGTCTCCCACTCAAACTCAATCGGTTAAGGACCTGGACTCTGGCCAACTAGCAGGTGCTCTGGTGCTATTTTTTATGCCTATTAAAGGATCATGCTATTAGCTTAGCAACATGCTAACATAGAACTATTGAAATAAATTGAGTAATTAAGTTTTAAATATTTATTTATTTTTGAACTAAATCACACAGTCACCTGTCACTTTCCATTTGACTTTTTATACTAAGCAAGCATGGCCTTGTTATTCACAGTATACATTATGTGTGCACTATATACTTCCCTGATCTTTTTTTTTTAAATCTAGTTTATTGTTACAGTGAAGCAATAGCACTGAGTCAGTCGTGGCTCATACTGTTTGTAAGTTAAAGTACATTGCAGTTGGATTTTGTTCCAATAACAAACATAAATATTGTTTTTCTTTATACAGTATGTGTACATGACTAGAACAGCAATCAGCTTGACTATGGTATGTCCTCATTTAGATTGTAAGGTAAATGTGTGTGTTAATGTCGATCTTCTTAAATGAGCCATGCCATACTTTACTGTATGCGCAAGCATGATGGGAACAATGCACCAGACTAAACAAAGTGCTATGAGTCTCATAACAGCTTTTTACTAAAATAGCAACTAAGTACATTTTTGTAACCATCATATCTGCAAGTAGTTCATACATTCAACAAAAGTCAAAGGAATCACTCAGCATGGTTTTTCATAAAAGTGAACACAATCTTGTTTGTGTTAAACAAAATGACCCCATATACAATATAATTTCTTAATATCAATATTAGTTAGCAGATATGTACATTTTATAAAGAAACAAATAAATATAAGTAGTATTTTCTCAAGCAACCATGGGGGGCGTATATATATATATATATATATATAATTTTTTTTTAACAGAGTATTAACTATGTATATACTAAAACCTGTCAATACATGTTGATATTATATGAGTAAATATAAAAGATAGACATGTATTTATTATAAAATATATTACAAAAACATAGACACACATTTTTGTATAAATGTTGTTTAATATATTGAATATATAAATAAAATATATGTGGTTAACATAGTGTCTTCATGTAAAATACCATAAAAACATTATGTTTTATTATATGTGCATATATACATTTTATGTGGAATTTATGTATTGTGTAAACCTATCGTCATGTACCCAGATAATGTATATTTGTAAAAAATATATATTGCATTATAGGTAACATATATTTTTGATATAGGGCAATATATGTAATTTATAAAATTTTTGTATGGTTAATTAAATGTGTTACTTGCTGTTTCTTTGTAATTATTTCTGACATTTGAGGGTGTTTTTTTTTTAAGGTATTGCTAGTATGTTTGTAAGTTTAGGCTGGTTGCTAGGTGGTTGCTAACTGACCCCAAAGTTGTTGTTTTTTTTTTACCATTTTATCATCCACTATGCTAAAAACACAACCACAAATAATAAAACACTTCTCTTTAAAAAAAAAAACCTGCAAAGTTTAAGGTATTATTCATGTTTGTTGCGGGAAGATGTTTTAATTAAATTATTTATTTTAATATTTATGGCAAAATCTTAACTATGCAATGAAAATAATAACATTTAGCAATAAAAAATGCATGCTTTTACAAATGGCTACCAAATAAAGCATCTGAATAAGGATTTTAGATTTGTGCTGCATGTTCATGAATTTAGTTTTGTATGCAAATTAATGGATAGGTATTCAAACATGCTCAATAAACAGGATTAGCTTTTAGTGCATTTTACAGGCTTACACTGACATTTAAACACATTTAAAACTCTAAATAAACCAGAATTGGTCCTACCTGAAGCAGTGGATAAGAAATCTCAGTTTCAGAGTGTGAGCCAAGCTGCATGAAGTGCTCAATCAAGACGAGAAACAGTCAAAGCGCTTGACACTTACTCACACATCAGCATGTACAAACACAATCCACCCCCCACTTATGAAAACATGACTCAAATCTCATGCATTTCCACAGAATCTGCTTGTTAAGAACACCACCCCCAGCATACACCCACTCAGCATTAACACTCCTCCCTTATCAGTGTCACATCTCCAGCTCAGTGGTCAGTTATTTCATGTTGTCCTCCCATGCCATGAATCGTGCAAAGGCAAATCATGACATCTCTAATTGACCTCCCCCAAAGATATATTAATAGCACTGTCACCAACATCAGACATCAGAGATGAAGAGGAAATTGGTTGTCTAGTGTTCCTCTTCCGTCCTTCAAGATCAAATGTAACTTTTTTTCATTGCGGACTCCTCTGTCAGTCACATAAAAATAAATTTGAGTACAAACACTGCACTATGTGGCCATTACGTCACTGGTTGAATGACGAACTGAGTGTACGAACTAGAAGAGTTAGGAAAGGACGAAGGATAGGAAAGGAAAACAAATTAGGGAAGCAGAGGTCTGTTGGGTAGGTTGGAGCAGGCTACGTGTAGACATGAGAAAGAACATGGAGAACTTGTGAGAAAGCTAGATGTACTGACCTGTGAGGTCAGATCATCTGATCCGATCCTGCAGTCGGTGGATGTTCTTTCATGCCAGTTCAAATCCAGTTTACCTCTGTTTTTGCTAAACTATCCATTTCATATATACTGTATATATATATATATATATATATATCAGTGGTAATTTCACTGAACAATTTTACCGAACAACTTGATAAGACGAAGCAAAACATGTTGTTGCCTCTCTTTTTAGTGAAAAGGAAGCTAAAGAGTAAGCTCACCTATAATTTACTCACCCATCACTCTCCCATTTACTCACTCTCTTGTTGTTCCAAATCCATAAGACTTTTGTCTTTGAGAAAAAATGGAAGCGATTTTGTAATATTTCTTTTTTCATCCAGTGAAGGGCTTGTAATTTAATGTTTTAAAGCTTCAAAAAGTACATAAAGACATCTTAAAAAATAGTGCAGTTGTTTGATCTTGCATGTTTGATCTTCCATTAATCATATTTGATGTGCTCTATGTCTGTGTGTTGATCAGTGTTCATGTTTGAACAAAAAACTAATGAAATCTGTATCATATTGGGCGATCATGTCTCTTCAGAACACTTTGACCACTCGATTTGTATGGATTATTTATAATGCCTTTAACTTTTTGAAACTTGAAAATGATAATGTCTATGTTGAGTACTTTTTCTTCAACACTAAATGTGAAATAAGATTATCTTCATATTGTTTTACATCAGTAATGTCTGGCCGTTTTCCAAGGCACAGCATCAGAGCAGATTACACAAGACATGGTATCTTCTGACACTCCACAATAGACTCCCCACAAGAGACTTAGGTATATCAACAGTGAAAATGGCAAACCTTGAGAAAAGGCAGCTGCATATAACAAACAATTGCATTATGGGAAACTGGTGCTTTGCATTAAACCCAGCCAAAACAAATTCTGCAAGGATGTAAGGGTTGGTTTTATCACCTTCCCAAATGTTTTTCACATCCCCTCATGAGTCTAGTTGGATGCAAACGTTTCTCTCTTAGCTTGTATGTGTGGAGTGGATTTAATTGATAACATGTAAGAAAAAAAAGGAAACAAGCAATGAGGTCAATGGCTCAAACAATGAAGTTTGCTTAACAGAGATTTGATAAGGCACTCGCTTAAACATTTGCCAACACATGTAAATGATATGATTACTCCCATTCTTTCACCTTTGTTTGATTGTTCGACACTAATTTAGCAAAAAAAAAAAAAGCTTTAAAAATACAGGCCAATTCTTAGTAATAGACTTTAATAGGTGCACGATACTTTTTTATTATTATTTTCTTTTTAAGAAATAAAGGCCACCATAGCATTAACATAAAAGTGCATGATATTATTTGGATATTTTCTACAGCATTGTGGGTAGACAAGTAAGTACTTGTATTCCATCCACTCATATTTTAATGTAGACTGTATCCGTCAAGTTCAACTATTCAACATTGTTACTGAAATTATTGTAAGATCAATGAATAATAAACATGTATTTTGTTTTATTAATGAGAAATGATCATTATTCATTTATCAGTATGTGGTCCCAAACTAGATGTAACTAGATTTCACTAGGTGAAATCTGCAACCCTGTTACTCTTTTTACTGTATAACTGAAGGGTCGCGTGATTTATTGAATGAGAGTGTCAATATGTTATGTAAAATAAAACATCACATACAATATTTAATTTCCTTGTCATCTTGCCATCTTGTCCAGAGAAGAAAAAATTAAATAAAAACTTGGCTAATTTGTATAATTTGTATAATTTTTCTAAAGAATCTTTCAGATTTTCTCTAAAGAATATTTCAGATCTCCATTTATAGCAAGTGCCATATGCATTTGAAATATTTTAGTGATACAGGCATAACAAGTACAAACTTGTGTGACTACGCGTCATCTTATAATTTTCCAATGAAACAATATGTTGTTTTACTGGCAGTGAATATGGGAAGCATTTATATGCTATCATCATTATGAAAGCTTTCTTATAACTCATTTGACAATCTTCCATGGTGACTTTTACATGTTATGTTAATGACAAAGGACACATCTTTTTCTCTGTTCTTTTCCAACCACCAAGGTTCTGAAAATATTTACAGCCACCTTCGCCGAGGGCACATAAGAGGTTGTTAGCTTAGCTGTTGCTGCCTGACATTTTATCTGTAACAGACAGTAACCGGAATGTTTTACTGGGTCGTGTTATCTTGATGCATTAGCTTCGGATGGCTCATATCAAGCCAAGTGTTACGACCCGTAAACCAACATGAAAGGCAATTAGAGACCAAATCCCAGGTCTACAGATCTTCAAAGAAAGTGATTGTATTTGTGTGGCTTCCTAATGTCAGTGTGGGTTGAAGAACAGTGACATTTGAGAGATTATTACAGCAAATATCTCCTACTTCTGCCATTTAGTGCGCACTTCAGGATCACTATTCCACAACAGTCTTTGGAATAGGCAGAAATCAGTCTGCTAGTTTATGGAAATTGCTGACCCTAGATTGATACAAATGTTTTAAAACACTATAGCTTGTCAGAGACAGTCTTCCAAATGTCAAAAAGCACACATTTATTATCCCAAACAGGAAATATAGTCTGGGGGGAATCGTGGGAAAGACACTGTAAAGGAGAAGAGAATTAACCACTACTTTCTCTGTGATTTTAGCTCTTTTAAAATGAATCATATTCATTTGGTATGATGGATGTTGAGGTTTTATAATTCATGCATATATTTATAGATAATCCATGTGGTTCACTGAACTGAAAAATGATTGATATAACAATTTAGAGTGTAATTCCACTATGTTTAGTGTTGTGTTTCATGTTGTGCCATGACAAACATAACTAAATATGTGTGATTTTATGTGTAATTAGTTGTGGCAAGCCTAAATCTGAGAAAATAAGGATTTCTTTAATTTATACTGTTATATTGATGCCCATATCTTAGCTAGGTTTGATGTAATACATTTCCAGCAACAAACAATTAGTCTGTCCACACTGAATGCAAAAAATATTGCTAGAACTGCATTATGGGTTATTATTTTTATGAGTTGCCTTTTCGCCCTCATGATGTGTTGAAAACATGTTTGAATGTTGCATATCTGTCTGTCTGTCTATCATCTATCTATCTATCTATCTATATCTCTAGGGTGTAAATTCATAAGCAAAATTATCTGTAGATTTGTGATGTTGAGACATTGTAAGGTCAGAGGTAGGGTTAGCCTAATCTTGAACTTTTTGAACTTATTGGTCATAGTTTGGTAAAGATTTTAAATTGAACTGTTGTACCATTAAATTTTGCCCAACTGGGCAACATTCATGCTTTCCATGCATGCAGCATTCGATTCAATTGTTAATTCATTAAATGAATGCATTCAATCGATTCACACATTCGATGCATCCATTCAATGCAATTCATTCATTCATTCATTCATCCTATGCATTCATTCATTCTATGCATTCAATGCATTCATTCAATCGATGCATTTGATGCATTCATTCATTCTGTGCACGCATTCATTCAATGCAATTAATTAATTAATTAATTCATTCATTCATTCAATGAATTTGATCCATCCATTCATTTAATGCATTCATTAACTCTATGAATTTGATGCATGCATTCATTAATTCCTTTGATGCATTCATTCATTAATTCATGACATAAAAAGAAGTACACTACTATTTTTAGTCTGGTGTTTGCCAACCTGTTTTCTGTAAAGTTTGTGGAGAGCAGAACAGTGGGGTCATTGAATTGGTTCTCTGAGCTGTGACCTGCTCAGTTTCAGCTCACATGTCCACCACTTCTTGCTGGGCCTTTGGACCAGGTTTCCTCTCACCTGAATCAACAGAACCCAACCAGAATACAGTGGTTTAGAGGGAACACGTCTCTTCATGTATGTTCTCCATGGGCTGTGAAAAGCTCATCACTTTAACAAACATTTAAGTGATTTACAGTTTTTACAATCATTTTGTCACCAATTTCAAAAACCTTGATGTCATTTTTCAAAACTCTAAGACTCAAGACTCAAATCAGTCATTATTTGTAACACAGGCTGTCAAATCTTCAAAACTTTGCATGTTGCATTCATATCTTTAAAGAAGCCTTGCATTTGCAGAATCATTGGTTCAAATAACTTATTTATCATGAAATACCATAGAAACATTACTTTAGATCACCCACACACAAGATACCCATAGTTTCACTGTGTTGTTGTTGTACAGTCATTAAATATACAAAACATGAACAAATATACAAAATATGTCAATAATACTACTACTACTACTAATAATAATAATAATAATAATAATAAATTGTGATTCAGGTTTCATTCTTCACTTTCATACATCACTGCAATACTGTAGGCTAGAGAGAATATATAGACACAGTGGAATCATTAAACTAAATCTGAAATTTAC